ACATCACATATTATTAAAATAAATACAATAAAAAACATAATTAAATTTTAACATGCACTTTTTTAAAAATTTTCTTATAAAATATTTTTAAAAAACTTTATTATTATTTGAAAATTACAAGGTAGTACATTAACTAGATCGTAATTTACTTAACGAAAATATTGATGTTTAAAATTGTTCCAAAAAAGAAGACACCAGATTTTACGTAGCAAAAACAGGTTTGCCTATAGGCATGTCTGGTGTCTTCTCTTTTGGAACAAGGTAGAAGTAAAAAATTATGAAGAAACGTAACTAAATTTGATGAAGCAGAAAACCATTACAGATTTCTTCAAAAATAATAATTTAATCTACATAATATTATAATTATTAGGTTGTGTTAACCTATAGAACTTGTTATGCCTAAGAATTCGCTGAAGAAATCACTTATTGGCCAGCTTTGAAATAAAATAAAAATATCAATTATGTTATTCCACTATAAAACTTAGGTAAAGTTAATTTGTTTCAGATTATTTTTATTGAAAAAAGCAATAAACATAGTATTAAATATTCTAACTACACTAGTAATAGTAGAAAGAACATTTTTATAAGCTCTAATTACTATAAAATCATATTTCAAATCTATTCAAAGTTGAGACAACTATTAATGATTTAAAATAGTTGCTTAATGAATTTAAATGAGCCAAACATTGGTAAAAACATATTATTATGCATATGTTATTAAACATATATATATATTATAATAAAATACAATTTAAACATACCGTCACACTTTCTTTTAAACTTAACAAATTATCATTGGCTGATTTCACATTATTTATAGTCAATGGCAGACTATTTGGAATTTCAGTTTCAGAAGTTGATATAGGTTCATGTGTTAAAAATTCTAGAGAATTAAAGAGACTGCACTCTCCATGCTTCTTACCATCTTCTGTATAATTGACCCTATAAATCAACATTTTTTACAATAGTTTTATAGATTCTATTACACAATAAATAAATATTACATTGATTGTTTAGGCACAGGGATATTAAATCTTTTGCAAAGTAATTTTTCGGGTACCCAGGGTTCAGTTTTACGAGTCCAAAAACCATACATTTGTTTGCTGGCATAGTTTTTGAGTCTTTCTAATGTTGGATCTGTAGTACGAACAACTGGTATTAAAGCATTAGTAGAATCATCCGGTAATGTTGCTCTTGTAAATCGATCAGATATTATTTCTGATAATAAACTAGGAACTTCTATAAAAAATTATAAAAATTATATTAATACTTATTTTGTATTTTAAATCTTAGAATATCAATCCTACGATATACCTTTTTTAATAAATTTTTCAACAGATGGAGGAGGTTCAAATTTTTTCACCTCTCTTTGTCTAGTATTCACATTACTGTAAGAAATATTTGAAGAATTAACTGATTGGCTGAAAAAATCAGGAGGACATTGTCCTACTATCCGATCATACATCCCACGAGGACGCCATTCTATAAAAAAATTAACATTTTTAAAAATTTCAAAAATATCAGTTAATATAAATAAGTTACCAGGAGGAATTTGTATGGGGGGTGGAAGGTCTTCAAACAACCCATGTTTACTTTCATCTTCAACAAATCCGTCAATACATTCAGAATTCAGGTTATTAGTTTTTGATTTAATTTTTGATTTTTGAGACTTTTCTTCCAAACTAAAATCATAATTTGACATATCGTCAGCGGCATAAATATCATCATCGTCATCTTCATAAGCACCAACTCCAAAAGCCTAAGTTAAAATGAAAATTTTTTCAAACTGTACACATGAAATATATTTGATACTATTGACACTATTATGAAAATATAGAATTTACTAATATTAAACATCAAATGCTTTTAATTTGTATTAATTTTTTCATAGACTTTATGAACAATATAATGCATTTTATAATTTATTTTTTTCTTATAATAATTATTAATTTCTATATTTTATAGTATAATCAATACACTCGCCAACATATTTGAAAAGTAACTTTAACATTATAAATTTTGTAATGTAAACAATAATTACTTGTCCATGAATAGATTTTCCTCCAACAGTTAGCTTACTGTACTTGTTCTCAGATTTTACAGAAACATTAGTTGTTTTGAGACCTTCATAACCAAGTCCAAAAGTATCAAATTTTGGTTTAATGGCTACAGATTCATATTCATAAGGTGAAACTTTAATGTTCTCCAATAATTCATTCACTTCATCATCATCATCACCATACTTGGTATCAATACTAAATTTCATTCCAACATTTTCTAATTCTTTTTTAGCACGCAATTTCTCTCGTTGTGTAAGTTGAGGACCAACTCCTTGACCTGGCTTCCAGCCCATACTTTTCAGTAATTCAACACCCCATGTATCTCTTTAATAATACAAATATTGATTAATATTATATACCATTTATTAACACAATATTTATTTTAAAAAGTAGTATTTACTTAATTGGTTTTAGAATTTCTCCAAGTACAGGTTTGCCAGGGATAGGGCCAGTATTAATTATAGGAAGTTGACGTTTCCTTGAAGAATGATCACTATATTCTGCTTTGATTTTTAAACTTGATGCATCGATTCCCAAGTCTTTTTTATCCTAATAATAAAGAATTATAAAATCTACCAATTATAAAAAATATTTATCTAATAAATATAGGTTAAACTAGATCAACAATAGGTTTATGTACTTCTTCATCCATAAAATCATAAGCATTTTGTGATTTAAGTGTAGATTTTGAGTCTCTTGATGATTTAAATGTGCTTGGTGTCCATCCTTCTAACGAACCAACAGTATTATAAAATCCAGCAGAAAAACCACCTGTAAATGCTCCATGAAATCTTCTCCTCCCGTTTTCGTCTTTAACAAACTGTTGTTCCGCATCTTTTCTTTTAACTACCTCATCTATAAAAAAAAATTGAATGATCAAACCAATATTTTTGGATGACTTAAATAACAATAATAACTTATAATGTCATTTTTATTCTTATTTTTTATTATTACTTATGATTTAAAAGTAAATAATTTAATTTAAATCTGTTTTGTTATTTTGATAATATACTTGAGTTGAAAGTCAAGGATAAATAATATGAGTGATAATGAAAAAATGTTTACTATATTATTTTATTATTGAACTACATTGGTTAGCTGTCAACTGTCACCATCAAACTTTATAAATTATATCATTTTAGGGTGGAGTGTAAAGTTATACATCTATAAATACTCCAATTCTATGTTGTTATGTCTATTATAATGACATTGATACTTTAAAGCAGACTCATATTAAACAAGAGAAATTCTCAATGCCTACTAAATTTAATCAATTATCAATTATCATAAAGATATTTTTGGTAGAAAATGTATTAAAGATTATGATTGATAATTATACAACAAATTAACATTGATTGCATGGTTTTTGGGGTATTAAAAATTCAAATTTTATATTTTATGAATTCTAAAACTAACAACATGACAACATCTATCTCGTCTAGTATTAAATGAAGTAACTACTTATTATTGTTAACTAATGTTACATACTGAAGTGGTTGATAGAAAATTGATGATATAACAATAGGTCAATAGCCATATATTGCAAGAAATATATATCTTAAAATACTTTGGTTAATTTATGTAGACAGATAACTAGATTTGTTAAACAATAATAATTGGTAAACGTAGCCACGTGGGCCAATTGTGTCTATTGATATGGTGTAATGCAATATTACGTTTAAACACATACTAATATACTATTCATCAGAATGCAATTTGTGTTTAATTTTATTGGTTAAAAGTACACAATAATTCAGATTCATCTGTGAATTTTAATACAACTTACCTTCGTGTATGGGATCCAACAATTTCCCGTGTATGATGTATTCGTCATCGTCGTCATCATCCGTGGACATGATGAAGCTTATAAATTAGATCAAACTATATAATTTATATAATTTACTTGAAACCAACTTGGTGTTTTGTCAACTGTTAGGTACTCTGAGCAGTTTATACAGTTAACACTTAATGTCTTAATATTGTGCCAATATGACGTATAATCACAATTCTATATAATCTGTGATATAATGTAAACAATAAATGTACGGTGAAAACATTTGGTTGATAGTAATGAGATAAGAACAATATCAACAACAAACAGTTTTCCAGCTGATAAAAAAACGAAAAAATGACGTGCTTACGACTCTACGACGACCACCCGGACCCGATTTACATGTTACGGCTCTTCTCTCTTACGAGCACCTATAAAATGACTGACTACGTCAGGTATAAAAATATTATAGATAATATGTTTTTAACTATATTAACAATTAGCATTAAAGATAGAACATACTAATTAATTATTAGTTATTTTCTAATACCGTATATTGAACGTATATATAGCCATATTACTATATTAGCCTAAGTCAAAATTTAGGAAAATAAAACAAATTATTGTTTATAAAAATAAATTACCAGTATAAAGTTTTGTAGATATTACCTATATTGGCTAGCCAAATTAATAATTCTATAATAATAGCAATAATACTGCAATGGATTGTATTAAATTTGAATTCAATGTTGGTACCTATAATATCATTGTAAACGAAAAACGATTCCGATCGTAACGGTTTGTCAGTCTAAGATATTTTATCCTAAATTAATTATATTTTTATTATTTAAAAAAAAAGTTCAGCGAACATTTCATGAAGATATCTACCGTGATTTGTTTTAGTGCAACACTAATATCCAAAATCGATTTTCTCAAAAGCTGATTTTGCGTAAAAATCCCATTTTTCCTCAATATTTTTTTTGTTTTTCGCGGGGGTTCAAAAAATTGAAACTGAGAATTTTATAAACGGTACTTTTGAAAAATACTTGAATTTTTTAATTTTGACCTTCCCAGAGCACCAACTACTTTTAACTACTATTAACTTTTCCACCTGAAGTTGAAATTCCAAKTATTATTTCTACTACTTATCGTGTACACAAACACATAAAACAAATAAAAACACATAATTGTAAAAAATTAAGTCCAAGCTTATAAATAGTATATAACCTGTAAATAATTGTATAGAGTCGACGAAGGCTTATGTGCAATATATGTTCAGCCCGTGCAAACTTCTTTCTCGGCAATAATTTCTGTAGTTTCTATGTGTAAATAAACTTTAAAAAATAAGGTACCTATGTTAAAACATAAACAATAAGTTTTGGCGATTACTTTTGTCATTATATTGTATTTTTAAAATAGAAAATACCGAAGTAATTTATTACATTATATCAAAGTAACAGTTTTATATTCAGAAATCAGCATAATAATATATTTCTTTAAAATTCAATAAATATTAAAATTTAAATAAAAAGATAATTAAGTGGGTGTCGCTCTTCTGTACATTAAGTGCGTTGTTACTACTCACTGTGATGGATATTTACATCATATTGTGTCAAATTTGAATTCTTTGGCATTTTTTAAGTGCAGTTTCTATGTAATGTAACCTATTGTAAACCAACGGCAATGACCTTTGACGCCGATATAAATAAAAAAAAACATCATTGTAAAATCAATACTAAATTCAAAATGTATAAACATCCAATTTAAAATAGTTAATGATTGGAAGATTTTGCTTTGCAGCCACGTTATTCCGAACGCCGCGGAGAACGTGGATGACATTTTCGTTTATGGTACGTTAAAATTGGGTTAAATTTCRTCGCAAAGAAGTCAAAATTAAATTAGTTGTACCAGGGTCGCATGGATTGTGCTACTCGTTCTACGGTTTTGGCGTCAGAGGCAAAATTGTCTCTCGACAAATGTTCCTCGATGATCAATAAGCTATTCGTTCAACTACCACCACAACATGTATTCCTGTTACTTATATTGTGATCTTTAGCTGAATAATATCGTTTAAAACACGTTCACAATCTCGTCAAGCTGAGGTTAAGTCCTGCTAACTTAAAAGCTACTGACGTTAAAAATCGAAACATTATTTCTACAACTTACACACACAAGACAAATTAAAAAACATCATTGTGAAATCAATATTTAAAGATAATAAAATAAAAAAATAATAATAATAAAAATTGGCATACTTAAAATTTCAATTCAGAACAAAACAAAACAAGGTTGAGATTTGAAAAAAAATTTGTGAATTTTTATTTGACATTTATAATTACTGCACAACATTAATATACAGCTATTATCATAGAGTAAGAAGATAAGTTTAATTTTATATATAGGTCTCACGATTATCTGACATATAGCTTAACTTTTGTTGTATTAAATATTTTATAATTTATTTTTTTCTATATAATTTATAAATACTTGCGCTACATTTTAAGTATTTATTTTTTATTTTTTAATACTGAAAATAAAAAACTTAAAAATTGATAAATTTTTTTTATATTAATTTAAAATATCCTATTAAATAGGAAAACAAATTTTGTGAATTTTATTATAAGAAGAATTTTGATGGTAAAAAGATTTATCTAAGTCAAATAGTTTATATTTTTTTGGTTAAATTAATTTGGAACATAATAACTTTTTTAAAGATATGATTTTTGTGAATTTGCTAATATGAGTATATTTTTTATATTATTTACCTATCATATAATATTAATAACTTTTGTCATACGTTTAATTAGTATAATTTTTATTGTTGGATCTTTCTGAGACACAGTATATTTATTTGTTTTGTCTTATTTTCCGTTTTTCATTAGGTCATTTGATTATCAAAAATTTAGAAAGTTGATAGATGGAGCGATGTCTATGGTTATAATTTACTGGCTAAAATGTATAAAATTAGGTACCTACTAGTGTCTAGTTTACAAAGATCTCATTCTGCATTTCTCGTGACAAATATGAAATTAACGGCAGTAAGTTGTAGATTTACCCATCATTAAATTTCTTTAAATGTAAGGGACACATATTTTTAAAATATTTATTTTTTGAGTTACTTTGACCAAATATTAAATATATATTTAAATTATATCCAATCATAATAACTATTTTATTTTCTGAATCCAATAACAAATGACAGCAAAAAATGATTTTTAGTTTTTTAAGACTATTTCTTATGTGTTTTAAATTAAAAGTATCTAAGTAGGTTCCTAATAAAAATTACCAAGACGACAAATCTTGGTGAATCTATTGACAACAATTTTATGTAGATCTGCTGAAAATTGGAGATTTACATGACAGTTAATCCTTCAAATATGAGGTTTGGGTCTTTGAATTTATATAGTAAGTAGATAATGATTTATATTATATATTAATTATAATAATGAATTATAGCCATTTACAGGTGACTTCACACGGATTAAAATTAATCTTTAATTTTATTGTTTTCAGTTTTGTTTCAGTTGAAATAAACTTACCTATGGCCTATTCAAAATGAGATCGGTAAAGGTGCCACCAACAGCATAATATGGGTGTGTTTCATGGCACAGCCTAATGAGGTCTGTGCGCACTGACAAAATCGGTCACCCCCCTGCACTGACTTCATTTTGATCAGAGTACATGATAGGTAGGTAAAAATAATTATAATGATTAATTTTATGATATTCCACTTCTTAATTCTGGACATATTTTATTTGTTGTTAACGTAAAAACTAAAACTAAATTTCAAAAAGATAAATATGATAGACTCGATGGCTAATGAAAATGTTAAGAGGACGCTACACCCGCATATGTTGTCTCCGTCTTACAAGTGCGTAACATAATAAATTTTATGCTCAGCAGATCACGTTTAGCTCCGTTAGTTTAAAATTTAGAGTAAATTGACCTCTTACAAAAATTAAAGGTAACATTATTATTGAGGGCATGACGTAGGCTTTTATTATATTTTAATTTTAAAGTGAGTTATGTGTATTTTAAGATATACAAACAATTTTAAATTTTAAAATACACATAACTCACTTTAAAATTAAAATATAATAAAAAGCCTACGTCATTCCCTCGATAGGGACATAAAATTTGCTATGTTACGCACTTGTAAGACGGAGACAACATATGCGGGTGTAGCGTCCTCTTAAGAAATATCAATAGGGATGTATTAACTATTAATGATTGGCATTTCTATTTATTTATAAAAACTACAACCTATATTATAATATTAAAAATTAATTCAAAACTAAAACTAAATTTACAATATATTATTATTAATTTAATAAAAAGTATTTGAAAATTTTTAATTGGTTAGATTAAAAAAAAAWATATATTCCAATTGTATTATCTTAAGTTTTAATTTATTATTATACCATATTATTCTATTATTTTTATATTCATCAATAAATAAGAGGGCTATTTATCAGAAAATATAGCCAGATATTTGATAAATATTTGTATTTTACTGTAAAAAATATAATAAACTGTTATAATGAAATGATCTTTTTTTTGTAGCCACTTGATTTCAGTAATTTCATGAATTTGGATACTACTATTAAAAAAACGTCCTTTGGCACTAAACCATTTGCATGCAACCGAGTATGGTAGTTTTGTCTTAGGTTACAAACAGCTAACATAATAATATACTAATATACTTCATACTTCTAAAGTAATTACTTACGAGAGGGTTATAAAAATTTATTTCATAAATAATGTTTATACTTGATTTATTAGTTATAAAAGTTAAGTAAAACACAATTTTTAAAAATAAAATAAAAATTGTTTTTGGAATTTAAAATGACAATACTAGAACTCAATTTGTATCATTTATTTCATTATCATATTCAATTTCCACATGAGGTCTGCCTTTAGGTTTGACTACTTTTTTCATTTTCTTAGCGGCAACATCCTATAAACAAAATACATGAATGTATTACATAACAAGATCATACAATACAAATTTTTTATAAGAATACCTCAATATCTTCCAATTCTTCTTCTTCACCATCAGAACAAACATAATCAGATACATCATCACCATCTTCTATATCACTGTCAAACATTTCATCATTATCATCTCCTATGTCAGATTCATCTTCTGCTGCAGTGTACTCATCAGCATCATCATTCTAAATATATTTAATATTTCAAATTAATAAAATGGTCAATTTTTTTATTTATATACATTGATAGATTGATTTGATTATTTATTAATATAAGTGTAACAAAACTGGAGAAGAATAAGTTGCAGTGGATTTTCATTTCAATTTTTACAGTATTTAATGACTGGTAAAGAATTTAAAACTACCAATTGTGCATGATAACATGATAACACAGCTGCTTTACCCTAGTTGATCAAAACTAATATATTTTTGGTAACATTATGCTTAATTAATCATAATATACATACATCTTCATCTTCTTCACCTTCTTTCTCAAGTGCTTTTTCGAATGCTTGTTGGTTAATATTATACATATCACCATACTAAAAAATAAAATAAACACAAATATTATAAAAATGAATTCAACCATAGAAATATGCAACTATACTATTACAACTTATTACTAAGTAAGTTTTATACGTGTTTCAAGTTAGTATGAAATAAAATCTGAAAATTACAAGTAGAATTTTTTAAAATTTAGTTTTGAGTTCACAAAACATTACTTTGATTTAAACTTATAAACCCTGAATTAGATTTCTAAAATAACATGTAAAATATTAATTTTAGTTAGTAGAATTTAAATAAAAGAAAGAAATATAAAAATTATTATGAAATTATTTTAAAGAATTATTCATTTAAAATATTTATAGCAAACAATTTTCTAGTTTAGTAGCACAATATTTATATTTTTAAGTGCAATTTTCATTATTTTTTAGTATAATGTTTCAATTAAAATACTAGATTTCACTACTAAAACATAAACATTACAAATAAATTTTGACAACTAACAGTTTGAAATTAATTTTAACAATAGAAATATAATTTTTAAGAGTTGTATTTTTTTTATAACAACTAGCCTACTTAATAATTTTTGATAAATTGAGGCCCTAGCCTAATAGGGGGATAAAATATAAATTAACTTGCAATTCTCACAATAATTTTAATTGATTAAATTTAAAAAAAAAAATACTTTTACATAATTAATATTATGACTTAATAGCTTTTTTTTATCATGGTTTACAAAAAATATATTCTAAAATATTAATTTTGTAGTTATTCATTTATTTATAACATGGATATACAACAATTTTAAAATTATTTTACATTTGAATGAATTAATGAAAAACTTATATTTTCAAAAATTTGGCATGCTATAAAATTGTATGGGTTCAACAGTTGTTATAACATAAGTTAAGGCCCATGAAAACTGGTATATGACATTGGTTGTCCTGTGATCCATAATCCAATTTGCAGACAATGGTTCTCAAATTAAACTGGTATGACTTGTGCATCATTTTAAGAAGTATGAGAACCCTTTAGACGATTTTACTTCTAGGATAACGGTGATCATACGCTACTTATCATGTTTCTAACTATAATGCCAATAAATCAATTGGATGATAATGGAAACATTACTTGTTTAAATTGTATACTTGTACGCAATATTTTTTATTTGTTTTTATGATAATGTTGTTCAAAGGATTTATCATGAACTACTATTTTATCCTTACTCATTTCAGATTATTTGAAAGTTAAAATTGTTTTCATTTAAGTAGTTTAGTTAACATTGAAGGGTTATATTTTAGAGCATTTTGGGATGTTTCATAGGTCGTCAGTCTTATCTCTAATTAGTATTTTATCAGAAAAATGCAAGGAGGTTTGCAAATGAAAGAGCAAAGCTCCCGGTAAATATTTAAAACTATAACTAATTAATGTAGAACATATCTTATAGTTGATTAAACACAATGTAAAATATAAATTCAAATAATGTTGAGCACATACAGTTCCTTTTTTGAGTCTTTCAACCAATTCTTTCTCAATAACATTATCAAGACGAGCAGCAATTTCAGCTTTATATTCTCTCCTTTTAACTCGTCTTTCCACTTTTCTTGGCAATGAAACTAATTCTTTCCTAAAATATTAATGATTTATTATATTAGTAAAATAATTAATTTTACCAAATATTGTTGATATTTAATGATTAAAGAGTAATATCTTACTGAGTTTTAAGTTTGAGTTTTCTCATTCGAATTAAATATTGAGTAATTCTTACAAAACGCTGTTTACACATAGATTTTAATGGACCCGGCCAATATAGCATATGTTCATTCATTTGTTGTATAGCTTTTTGAAAATTTCTTGATAGTTTTATCTTCTCCCACTGTCTTTTTGGATAAACAGATCTATAAAAAAACATATTTACAGTAATAAATTAATTAAATACAATACTTATACTAAATTTATACCTTTCAGCAGTTTTTAAGAAGAGATAGATAATACCCTTCTCTTCTCTAACAGTAGCATATCTACTATTAGCCAACGGGCAGTGAGTGCGATTGCATAAACCTGATAAATTATATTCATTTCGGCAAAAATTTGAAGTGTCTGTTCTGAGAAATTATTTAAAACAATATTATTAAGATTAGGTAACTAATATATTGATGCATAATTATAATATTAATAGTTTACTTGATTTTGAATGAACAAAATGTATCTTTTATTATAGACCAAACAATCTGAAAACAAAAATAAGAAATTTTTATTTTTATTTTTAAATAGTTTTTGACAAAAGTTTAATAATCATCAATGTATGATTAATAATAATAAAATGTTCAATGCTACCAATTGAAAATTTCAAAATGTAGGTAACTAATTAAAACAATAATGGTACTATAAAATATGTTATAACTATAAAGCCTAAACTTCAATATATAGCATAGGCAGGTTTTTATTCATTTTTACACTTAACTTTAAATATTTCTAAAAATGTCTATTTTGTATGATGTACCCATACTATATAACAGTTCACAAATTGTGCTCCATAATACTTTCTCAATGGCTCCTTTTGTTTTACCATTAAGGTATAGTAATTTAAGAATAACACATTTGTTTATTTTTTAAAACATTGAAATTTTAACTAATACGATAATTCTCTAATACCTACAGGTACAAACTCCTTTGCAATGAAAAAAATGCCAACATTATTAAAGCAGATACTATATTCTATTCAAAATAATCTTGCCCAATTGACTAACAAAAACTCGTCTGTTTTACGCATGTCGACAACCAACGACCAATCACAGTGCACCTGACTATTATTAACTTTGATAAGACGAGACTTTTGCAGTATAGGCTACTCAAGATAATATGTAAAGATATGGAAGCTGTCACAAGTCATTATTATTACACACTGAAGTATGATGGTTGTTATGAGGTAAAGCGATGTCTAGTTCAAGTAACTTTGAACAAAAGTTTGTTCAATTTTAAATATTTGCTAGCAGATTATTTAAATGATTAAGAACAGTTGTGTAAATTATGTTATATGACTGGTTTTCAAAAATGAATGAATTCAGCATATCTATACAAGGAAAACGGAAGACAATATTTGTTGCATGACTAGGGCTTGGAAGTTGATGACTTTAAACACAGTAAGAAATGACCTAAAAAAAATATGCATATATGACATAAAATATAAAAATGCCCATAAAAAATGACCTAAAATCATTACAAATATTAATTTATAATTAATAAAAATACATTTTTTTAAATACTTTACTATAAAATTCTATATAAATTTATCAAAACTTCAAATTACTCAAAATATGACAAAAATATCTTTAGAAATTAAATAAAAAATAATAAAATGTCGGTATGATAATATTCACTACAATATGACAACGACAAATGTAATCGTTGAGATAAAATCGGATAGGTAAGTAATAATCTGAGTCTGAGATAATTTCCATGTTTTAAGTTATCGGCATAATAGTCAACAAGAAACGATAAGAACTGAACTACCTAGTGTGAAATCAGTAAAAACGACTAAAAATATGTGGAAAATGACCTAAAAATGTCAAAAAATGACTTAAAAAGTAATTAACGTCACAATAATTAAAGAACATCTCATGAATGTTTCAAAATTTGAATTCATACTTTTTGGAAGATCCTCAAGAATCAATTTGAAAGAACTATCTTTGAGTTTTTATGCAGAGAATGATATGCATATTCAATTGACTTTTGAGATACTGGAAATTGATAAACTTTGTCACAAAAAGCAGAAATATAGTTGATATTAACACTTATCCTTGAAAATGCATAAGTGCAAAATTCTATTATTTTTCAAAAACCTTCACTTAGTTTTATTTCCATTTAGTAGATTTACATTTTAAATAAAAGATGATAATATTTTCTCCAGTTTTATTGATACTTTTGTTTCTTTTAAATAAATATTTCAATATTCTTACTTATATAGGTATATGTATATATATATATATATATAATATAATAATGATTAGGGCTCCACAAGAAAATACTCTTTAAACAAAGCTACCTGATAGAAAAGTTTGAGAACTACTGCTATAATAATATGTAATGGGCTAAAAATAATTTCGACAGAATTTGAAAATTGAATGTTGAGTTAAATAAATCTATCAATGTTTGAACTTTGAATACTTTATGCAACACTGAATTTATAATTTGCAGTGAATTCCATTTTAATTGTTTCATACTAAAAAAAATACTTTACAACTTACATATCAATAAAAATGTTTTATTTTTACTCAAGTGGTATACCTATTATACATTTTATACCTACATGTTCTATGCATATTTTTTAAGTTTTTAATTCATTAATACATGCATGTTTGATATTTTGAAATTTGGGCTTAAGTAATTAGCATAATTTGAAACCAACAGGATTACTTTTTGCAGTATTTGATAACAGCCAAAGGTAGATTTTTTTCACATTATTTGAAATACATATCTAATAACATCAACAAACTACTTACGAACAATCTATACACAATTATTTGAATTTATGATAACAAATCAACGCACAAGATATTCCAATCACAGATATATATATTATATATATCTGTGATTCCAATAACATATTTTATAGATTTAGATAGGAATCAAAACCATAGACAGTGTAAAACAATATGTGATGTCTATGACGAGAGCACTTTGAAACATCTACACTATTAACTCGATACAATAAGCTGAATAAGCAGAAAAGAAGACATCAATAATTATTTTATCTAACACTACTTTGGAAAGAAGTCATACATTAAAATATATCGGTAGACTTGACAGTTATGGTAGGTATGATGGGCATTTAATATGGGTGGGTAAGTGAATTTTCGTAGGGAGATACACAATATAATCTGAGCTCTACAGTAGATATCTATAATACTAGTTGCTGGAACTTGTAACCATTAATAATTATTACATTATGTTCTACTTACATCATCTTGATCCATATTGGTTAGCTAATGTTTTTGCGATATCATCCACAGCTAAAAAGCGGCGGTTTACAGTCGTCGGACAAGAACACCGGACGCACATGTACAGCAAATATTAAATAATGAAGCCGCTAACACGGGCCACAAATTAGTGTTGCGCTAAAAGAGAAAAGACGTCGTTACTAAATTGTAAATACGAAGACGGCAACATTTTAAGGTTAGGTATAATGTGTCGTTTGGGTGTTTCGTTTTTCGTCCGTTCACTAAACGTAATATGTTTCCCACCATCAAACGACACTTGTTATAATATAATCTTTTATCCATAGGTATATTATCTATACTTTTATCGGTTTTTATCAGTGTGTTATCATAGACGCGGGAAGTTGGTCGTGATTAACTATCTAATATTCATTGTGTACGAATTACGAAACACGTAATATCACTATTCGTGTTGTTTGACACTTGCGAATTACGATTTACACTTAGTTTTGTACCAAATGCTTTAATATATTTCATTATTATTTGGTTGTGTTTGTTTCAAAATCCCAAATTATGATTCATATTTCATTATTATTTATTTCACTTTACTTTAGCTTGGTTTTTTTTTTAAAGTGACTAAACTAATGACTATAAAATTATCATTTTGCTATTCGCAGTTCGATAATAATTTCAACATCTAATTCGGATGCTCCATATTTTACGCTATTTTAAAGATTTTTTATTAATATATTCCATTCAACGCTATTACTTTTTTATAAATTAAGGGAGGTTATTGCCCACGAGCCACACTAAAGCCTCCACTGGTCTAGAGTCAGTGACGTATCTAGGCATTGGCAAGGTGGGCGGTGGCCAAGGGCGCAGTTTAAAATGATCGCACTAGGGGTGCAATTTTTATATCATCTAAATGCTAAAACTTCATTGTAAATTTATAACATTGGTTGCCAAGGGCATACACAAAGCTGAAAGCTAGTTACGGCACTGTCTAGAGTCCAGACCTATACTGAATAATTTATAGTGTCTACTTCTTCACTTATTATTATAGGTTTTAGTGTTCACTGCCTTGAAAACAATCTTTTAACTATAAGAAATACATATATTTTGATCCTTTAATGTCAAAACTAAAAAATGCACGTTTGCGTGTATATATTGGGACTATATACGTAATTATTCTAAGACCATGCACTGTTTTAAATTTTTAAGTTTTAACATGTTAAAGTATGATAATATTTTTAACTATCTAGCTAATAGGCATTTTTTTTAATTGCTTAGATAGTGTTTACCATAAATACATGATATTATTATCATTTATAATATTTTATTATTTTCTTTCTCGTATAAACGAAAATATGATCAAAAAGATTGCACATAATTACTCATACAATACTTAATGAAGTAATGAGTGATGATCATATTAATATATTATTATGCTAAGATTTAGAACATATTTACCTATGTAGGAAATAGTTTAGTATTTTATAGTTTTGTTATATATTTGAATAATGAATACCAAAATTCAATTAACCTGATTAGTGAGTAGATACTTCTGTAATTGTAGGTAGGTAAATCATTATTAAGTAGGTATTTATTTTTAATTAACACTATTAAATCAGTTGCGGTATTAAATAAATATAAGAATATGGATTCTATTAAACTGTAAAGAATTAATTTAATTTAATAATTCGACTATTTGTTTACCAACAGCAGGAAAAGTAGGAACATATAATTATGATGATAAATAAAACACTCATCAAGCCACCTGAAATCCCATTATCGTAATTTAAAAACTGATTGTAGTTAATTAACTACTTACATACATGATTGAAGATAAATAAAACAATAATTTTCTTAATTCATTAATCAATAAAGAAATCTTACGTACCTACCTATTTAGAAAATCAACACATGTCATTAGAATAGGTACTTGATGATTTGTTAATTGAAGACTAAATAAATACCAATAATTATATTTTTATGATATGTCAATAGTCAATTACTTAGGTAAAGATATTATTTTCAGAAATAAACAAGCACCATTACCCTACTAAAAGTATAGGTATGAATATTACTTATATTAGGCTATCGGCTATGTATTTATATTTCTACCTTTACTTGAAGATTCAATTAACCTTAAATTTAAATTCTAATGTCTATGAAACTGAAACAACAATATCAGCCCATGAATTTTCGTAATTTTGATTCTGTGTTCTTATAAGCTATAATCATAGGCGTGCACAGAGTTTAAAGCTGGGGCAGCCTATATTTAATGGCCCTTTTTTCATACAATTATATAAACGGCTGTTATGGCTATACATCACCATTGAGATAACATTTTTTAATTTGAACTCAAAAGGCAAAATTGAATTATGTATGAATAAAAATCAGATGTATTATTGTAATATTAGGTTAGGTATGTTTTATTTGTATAGACATATTTAGATACAGAAAAGATTAGCTTGGTCATTTAATATACTTTTTGGTAACAAACTTATTTTTATTGAGCATTATACAGCAGCCCAGCTTGGACATGTTCGGCCCTTACAAATCTATTAAAACCGTTCAGGGACAGCAAGATCACACCCCACTGCCCCTTTGTGCACCCATATGGCTATAATAGACAATAATAACTCAACTACTCTACTTTACTATTTGTAAAATTCAAATCCGGATTTTTTAAGAACTCATCACTTTCCTTCTATACATTTTGGTTTTGTTATAATTTATATCATATAAACAATTCATTAATATTTATTCTGTACCTATCCATTGTATATTGGACATACTAATACTATAAACTAAACAGTTAATATAAACAAATATTTTTAGGTACCATATTTGAACATTAAAACTTTTTTAGGATCACTTTCTATAGGGATCTTATTCTTAATGAGTAATATGAAGTACAAACAGTATTCTAATATTATATAATTTTTAATTTTAATAAAAATATAATTATTTATGTTATAATATTATTAAAGTGTAATTATAGTATTATACTAATGATTAAATTGAACACTCATTATTAAGATTATCGCTATTCTTGTTCTAAATTTAGATATTTATTATTAAAAAAGTTAAATTAAACACACTGTGTGTATTTGTGTACCTACCTATGATAAAAGCTTTTTTTTCTGCTAAACAGCTAAACTAATAACATAACCATACGTATAAAAAAAAAAAATAACAGAATTAACTAAAATACAATAATAATAACTCAAATAAATTACATTACTTAAGATACTGAACAATAAACTAATGATTTGTGAAAGACCAAAAGGCCGATTTGCATAATATTATGATTTTTTTTTGTAATTTATTATAAAGTTATTAATGAAATGTCTTAACAATATTATAAAATAAAATGAAGTAAGCAATATTGAAACAAAAATGTGGATTATATAATATTACATATAATCTATAAACATTAAATAAGGTATTTAAAAATATCTAAAATATTAATTTTACAAAATTTAATAAATTTGTAAGATGATATAAAATTCTAAATAATAATATTGGAATATTTTAGTATGGAGAGGAACACAAATTATTTGTAATTCTTACTTAAATATTGTAGTTAATATTGTACACAAGTAAATTTTAAAATTAAATATATGTCGTCATAACTTTTTAATCATTACAAATTTTTGATTATAATTTAATGTAAAGCTAATCAGAAAAGTAGATACCTAMATTATAATAGTTATGCTTCTGATTTAAATTGAAAGAATTAAAATGTATGTTATATGATCACTTGCAATAATTGTAATTGTTAAAAGATCACATATTTTAAAAGTATTAAGTTTTATATTTGTAATTTGAACAGTTATAAAAGTAATCAAATAAAAAGGTTTAGTATGAAAATGATTTTACTGAATTGAGATGCAAAAGCTTACCTATGTAACAGATCATAGTATTATTTTAATGATATTTGTTTGTTTATGTTTAGTATTGGAAACATATATAGTATTATTTTACATAAACTTATTTTTAAAAATGAATTTCATTAGTAACTTATAATCATATTTCATGATGGTTGTATGATTTTATCGTGGATAGTTAAAATTTAAATACAAAATAGATTATGAGTAATTTTGGTGTACAATAAATAACTTGTTGAACATTTTTTTTGGAAATTTAAACATTTAGTATAGGTACTTAATCTAAGAGAATTTAAACTTCCTAACCTCTTAGATTAGATGTATTAAAAAGTATGGTACATTTCAGATGATTATTTACAATTATTATTAGTAATCTTAGGTATGTTATCTACCTATATGTTTTTGATGAACAATTTATTCTTAATAGTAATAAAAATGTTGTTATTAATAATGGATTACAATAATCAAAATAAGTATAATAATTATGTCTAAAACTAATTTGATTTTATTTCGTTAAAAACAATAAACAAAACAATATAATCTGATTAATAATAAAAATGATGGTACATTCTTAATAAGATTAAGTTTAAAGGTTCTAAAACAGAACGGGAATTAGAAAATATAGTAGTCACAAAACGAAAATAAAAATGGCTGATTGTGTCTACATAGATGTTGTGTGCCATTCGTCGTTGGGCACTTTACCTTCTTCCACAGTTCCATTGGACGACAAAATTTCCAAATCGTTTTCTGCCAGTTTGGCAACAATTCCAGCACCATATGCGTCTCCAAGCACATTCACAGTAGTTCTGAATCGGTCACTGAAAAAATAAATCAAAACACAAATTAAGTGATAATAATATGTAGACTCCCAACTTATAGTTTGATTAATATAAATACAGGTAATTGCTTGATAGATTTATAAATTTAATATATCATAAGTTATGATTCATAACATTATAATGTTTAAAAGAAATTTGTAACAAAAATAAACAGGTATTCAATAAAATCTAAAAAATAGGTAGGTATATAATTTTAGTCAATGGTACTGTGAAATTGTTATGCATAGAACTTTTTAGAGACACGTGTGTCATGTGAATTTTATTTTATATTAATAATAATAATGTAATTATTAATTCATGACTCGTATGTATTTTTAAAAATAATTTTAAACTTAATTTTTGTTTAGGTACTCCTACCTCACAAAAAAAATTAAAAATATGCCACTGATAATATGGTATACCTAGTGCATGTGTAACATCCAAAAAGTATAAATACTTACAGCAACCAATCTACAGCAATGATCAATGATACATCATCTGCTGGTAGTCCTAATGTGTCCAAAACCATCACCATTGTAACTAATCCTGCCTGAGGAATTCCAGCTGCTCCAATAGATGCCATTGTAGCTGTCACACTAATTAAAATTATTAATAAATAGATTATTAAAATAAAAGATTTTAAATAGGCACTCTGGAATTTTTAGTTTAGTAGCAATTTATTATTTATACTTTTTTTTTCATGTTCCTAACACATATTATAAATGACTTTGTATATTCATTAGGTAACTGATGTTTCTATAAATATAACTACATACAATAAGTATGGGCAGCAAATAAATTAAAATAAACAACATAACGTACCTTACAGCTGCAATTTGACCAAAACTTAATTGTATGCCTTTCAGTTGAGCAATAAAAATTGCAGCCACTGCTTCGTATAAGGCGGTACCATCCATGTTGATTGTTGCTCCAATGGGCATTACAAAACGCGAAACTCGGACGTCAATTTTATTGTTTTCTTCTAGACAGGCCATTGAAATTGGTAAAGACGCAGAACTGAAACACAGATTTTAAGATAGTTTTATATTGAAGTTTGTCTACGTCGAGTGTAAAAAATTACAATTACTTACATATAGTGTACAGTATCAAAATAATGTAATATTACCTAACTATTGATAGTTTAAAGGGATAAAATTATTTTACTCATAATTTTATCACAGGTTGTTAACTTGTAAATAATTCTATATTTTAGTTAGCGTAAAAATAATATATTTTACATAAGAACATTGAAGAATATTATAATTTATTTTATTGCATATACCTGGAAGCTGTTCCGAATGCTGTTATGATAGCTTGGCCCATGTTTAATGTGAATTGGAATGGTAATTGACGTGTGAATAAACTGTACATAAGTGGTAATAGAACAAATCCATGAACGAATAATCCAAGCACAACTGTTAAGAAATACATTCCTAATCTACCAACAATCACGCCAAAATCATCCAATTCCAATACTTTGGATGCTACTAAAAATAGCACACCCATTGGCGATAACCTAAAAATAGAAAAAAACGATTTTCTTCAAGTATAGGTACCAACAAAACGTAATTGATATGTATGAAAATTATATCTTTACCATATAACCCAGTTGGTCATTAACATCACAGCTTCACCCAAACTATCGAAAAAGCTTAGAAGTGGCTTTCCTGTGGGTCCCAATTTTCCAATACATATACCAAAAGCTACAGAGAATGCGACTAATCCAAGCACGTTAGATCCTTCAACCATTTCTGATTTTATTTCCCATAATGTCATATCAGTAGCGTTAACTAAAATAAAACAATTACTATATTATATATAGGTTACATTGATTAATATACCTATACTTATTAAAGTATAAGCTGTATATAATTTGCATAGTTGTATAATATATGTATATAGTATATAAGTACTATTGTTAATTAATATTATATAGCAGAAAAAAAAATATTGAATAATTAACGGTTTATTTTTTATTTTATCATCTAAACAATTTTTTTTTTTGTAAAATAACTTAAGGCTAATTATATTTCAATGGGTATAAACAGTAGATATTTATACACTTAACTTAATAGAAATTTCATTTAAAATGTCTAATAAAATATTATCAATTTAATTTGAACACGTGATGCATATCTACATTTGTAATTTTCTGTTATAGCACGCCTACTGATGTAAGTATCGATTTCGAGACAGACATTATAAAAACGAAACAMAACGCTTTAAATGTATCATTCCATTTCACTATAAGTTTTTTGAATTTAATTAACATATTTTATATAATTTGTATAACATATGTAAATATAAAATTCATAATGCAGTTTGGTAGGTTTTTAAAATCATAAGTTGATTTAAACGAGATTTCATTTCAGTAGGTAGCTATTATAAGGAGTAAGAATAATATTATAGGCTTTAGGCGGAAAGATTGGTCTAAGGTCTAACAATGATATTATGTATGCTTTTTTTGTGTATTATAATTTTTTAGAGCAGTAAAAATGTTTTATTCTTCAAATTTGAGGATGGATTCTTCATTTATAGTAAAAATTTGATCTAATTAATATTTTGGAGGGCAAAAACGAAACACTCCCACCAGTTGCTATACTCATTAAGATAAACGAAAAATAAAATTACGGAAAAACCGGAATGTTTACGTAACATTAATTTTTGATAATATAGATTTCGTTATTTTATTGCAACTCAAAAAMGAATAATCGTGAATACTTGAACTTTCACCCAATATTTATAATTCCATTTTCTATAAATTTAATATATTTTCATCTGTATTATAATTATTTATGCTTTTGATGTTTTAGATTCTGAACGAAGTGATGAATGTATTGATTTTACAATGATGTGTGTTTTTTTTTT